TCATGCTGTCGCCACCTTAGAAACTGTGCCTCATATTCGGCCCTCCAACAATACCACTCAAATGTTTCAACAACTACAAAGACTCATTCACTCCTGCTCTACGCCCTTTTTCATAGGCCCTAACCACAACCTACACCCACCACGGCCTCGCGGTCCCTCCAGGGGCCTACCCTCCTCCCCAGCTGTGTCCCCTTCTCCGCTTAGCACCTCCCTATACCAACCTACCCTGCCCGAGGGGCCCCCCTCCTCTGCAGAACTAATTCTCACCTTAGTCAACGCCTCTGTCAGGACCATCCGAGAGGCCAACAATTCAGAATATCAGGAGTGTTGGGTATGCTACTCCCCCCGGCCTCCCTTCTATGAGGGTCGCTACATTTGGTAAACTATTATTTACTAATGACACCAGCAATCTCCCGATCTTATATTTGGGGTGCTGGTCGCGGAAGCCCATCGAGTAGCCTAAGACAGGCTCTCTACCAACCTATATAAAACTCCCTCATATTAATAAAGAGAGGGGGAGATGTTGGAAGCTAGGACCCTCAACACCCCTATGACTTGTCCTACGCACGGGCTTCGCCCTGGAAAATTCCCAGGACAAAAATAGCACCCCACCCTCCAGCTATAGCTCCGAAAAGAATACGTTCCATGACGTGCTGACCGCGGAATGCTCTAGGGAGTGCTAACTGCAATTGTTCCCGACCACCTGCCAGGTTGGGGTTGAGTAATCAGTCACAAACAGCTTCGATACCGATAAGACACTGGTTGGGGCTGATTGGCCCAAACCCAAGCCTCATCATCACCCCACTCTACTTCATTGTTTCTGCTTCCTTGCTTCTGTATGCTTATAAAACCTACAAAGAATCCAAGTAAAGTAGACCTTGACAACCATTTTCTTGGTCTCGTTCCTTTCTCTCGCTCATCTCTTTCGGACACGGTCCTCCTTGACCCCCACGAGTAACAGAAGGTCCCAAGGGTCGGGACAGACCCCCTTTCCCTGTTCTCAACATCGGTTATGGCATGCCTGGGTGTTGCTGTCGTATTCTGTGCTTTTCCCAGCTTATCTTTGAACTTGTGCCACTGTGATCCCTGCCTGCCTGCTCTGCCCTCCAGACTCCTAGCAGAGGGCCTGGTACCCAGTAGATACTTGTTGAATTATATTTCTCACAAAATCCACATAACGAGTCATGAGACTCTGTAATAGAGTAGAAAGCACACAAAATCTGAAATGGCAATTTTGAGTTCTTGTCCAGGTTCTGCTATTTACAAATGGGGAAGAAGATAAAATATAAAAGTCTGCCTTGCAGTGTTTTAGAAAAAAGCAGACATAAACAAAGGTCCCTGTTAGGAAGTTCCTGCACCCAAAGTGCAAGGACAGTAGAAAAGCAGAGAGGTTAGCTTAGCAGCAACTGGGGTTAACAAGGTACAACAGAGGGAAGTTTTGACTCTTCGTGTTACAAAGGCACGACAACAACGCAGGAAACAGAAGTGCAGGCCTCTGCCAGGCAGGTTGGGGTTAGAAAGGGACGAAAGAATTGGTTTTTGAGTTTGCATAAAGGAAGGACTTGGAGCCTGAGGTTACTTTATGCCCAGGCCTGCTATTTATCCTGCTGGTGAAGCCAATGGAAGAAATCTGCATGGGCCTCATGGCCTTGCTGCGTGCAAGGGAGGTAGAGACGCTCATGCTTTGGCAACGCTTGTGACGTGTTGGGAACGTGACAGCTGCCCGGGCGGCTCGTCCTGGGCGTCGTCAACACTGACCACCTGTGTGCAGAGCAGCAGGTCACTCCATGTGTTTGAGCCCCAGGCCCTTTCTCTGTAAAAGCGAGACTATGCAATGTACATTGTGAATCTCAGACACTATTTGCTTTGAAAATTTTTAGATATAAAATTATTTATGCCACCTGTCCATGGCCACTCATGGAACTAAAAGCGGCTCCGGGAGGGCAGGCATGTGTCTCGTGTCCTCTGTGTCCCCACGTAGCCGTCCAACCCGGCTGTTGCACGCGGTGAATATTTTTAAATGGAATTTACTCTTTGAAAAGATGCAGAGCCGTTTCTCTCACCTTGGGCCCGCAGCGTGGCACTCCAACGCCAGCACTTGTGGCCGCCGCAGCTCCGTGTCGCACAGGCTCTGGAGTCGGGCTGAATTCTCCCCTCGCTCTGTGCCACCTGCTTCTCCACACCTCCATTTGCTGGCTGCAGCATGAAAGTCACAAAGCACCGGCCTCCCAGGGTCGCTGTGGGGCGTCCACGGACGACGGCAGCAAGCGCTTTCCCTGGCGTGATCAGCACGGGACGAATGCCGGTGACCGTCGCTTCCTCACTAGTCCTGACACCACTTCGCCTGTGGGGAGAACGAGCCTTTTCATCTAGGGGCTGATCTGGGTTTTGACGCAATCCTGTTGGACTCCTGGGAGGGGCTGTTGTCACCGTGCCATGCTGAATTCAAGGCGGTCCTTAAACTTGAGGAACTTTTCTTTTGATTGTGGAGAATCAATCCACTGTCCCTCTCTTTTTATTCCTTGCCTTCAAGTCCAGCACCTCCCTCCTTGGTGGTAGACCCCCACTGTGATAAGGGCCTTTCTCCTTCCCACTGCCAGGCCTTCAGGGAGTGCGACCCTCTTGCTCCTCCCAGCATTAAGTCCTGGAGAGTTTAAGTCAGCCTTAGTCACCACGTTGCCTCTGGCCAGCAGGCTCAAGGCAGGCTTCTGCAGCAGTAGGGAGAGACGAGGAATCTTCTGGAAAAGCTTCATAGCTGCAAAGAAGAAACACAACTGGTAGCGGCCAAACAGAACGATGGAGAGAACCTGAGTCCTTGAAGTTGTCACGGATTTGTTTCAGCAATTCTGCAACCCAGAGCCCTATCTATTGTGATGCCACATAACAGGACTTCTTGTGAGGTGAGATAACGAAACTGACCTATTTAAAAGTTATTTTGAATACGGATTTATTTTTATAGTTATCCCCTAGTATCGTGGGGCATTGCTTTCAGGACCTCCTTTGGGTACCGAAATCCAAAGATTCTGAAATCTGTGATATAAAACGGCACAGTATTTGCATATAACTTGTGCACATCCTCCTGCATATTTTAAAGCATCTTGAGATGACTTGTAATACCTAACACAATGTCAAGGCTGTGTAAATAGTTGTATTGTTTAGGAGAAAAGGACAAGAGTAAAAGTCTGTACATGTTCAATACAGACACAACTATCCACTTTTTTCCTCTAAATATTTTTGATCTACAGTTGGTTGAATCTGTGCCTACAGAACCCATGAACATGCATGGCCAACTGTATTTGTAGCCAAAAGCATCTCAATGGACTTATCACTGCATGAAGTAATCAAGACGGTTGATTAATGCAGTTTCCTCTTCGAGGGGTTTTTAAGCACTAGAACCACTGTTTTAGACCTATGATAAGAGATCTACACAGCGAATTGCAGCATTTTGGATTTGGAAGGTCATCGAGCCTAGCGTTTACTAAATCTACACTGACTGTTCCAGTTACCTGTTTCTACAGGGTAAACCAACCCGGAAATTAATGACTTAAAACAACAAAAATCATTTCATTATTGTGAGTGTCAAATTTATGTGTGGTTAGGTTAGGTAGTTTCTGTGGAAGAACTCTGTCAATGTGATTATCCTCTGCAGTTAGTTGACTGTAAGTAGATTATTCTTGGCAGTTTGGGTGGGTCTGATGCAATCAGTTGAAAGATGTGAAGAGCAGAACGGTGGCTTCCCGGGAAAGGAGAAAGGAAATTTTGTTTGTGGACGGCAGCAGCAGCTCCAGCAATCTCTAGCCTTCCCGCTGTCCTGCCCTGCGGATCTCAGATTTGGCTAGCTGGCTCCCGTAACCACAAAGCCAATTTCTTGCAATGTAAATCTGTATCCTGCCCATTCTGGCTCTTTTTTGGAGGAATCCTGACAGATACGTTATTATCTCTCACCATTCTGGGGGATGACTGAACTCAACTAGGTGGTTTTCACTTGGGATCCCTCAAGCAACTAGAAATTAGAAATAAGCAACTAGAAAGTGGTGGGGGCCGAAGTCACCCTGAAGGTATCTCCCATGTGTCTCACAGTTGACGGGGACCTCAGCTGGGCATTGGCTGGGAAACCTGAATATGACCTTTCCACGTGGTCTGAGCTTTCTCAGAGCATGGCAGCTGGGTTTGAAGAGGTGTGCCCCAAGGGAACAGAGTGGAGGAGCGTGGCATTTTTTTTTTTTTTTTTTTATGACCTAGCCTTGGAAGTCATAGAGAAGTATGTCATTGGTAAAGGCAGTCGTACATGTCCGTTCAGGATCAAAGGGAAGAACACAGGCTCTGCCACTCAATGAGAGAAGAGTTCATGTCACATTGTAGAAGAGCATACGCCACAATGAGCAAATTTTCACCAATTCATGGTGGAACGAGAAAAATTAAACCAGATTGTTCCAATTTAGAGGGCAGTCCTTTATTCCGAGCTTCATTTTGGTGGTGAAATATCCTATATTTAATGAAATGGTGATTATTTTACATGGAGATTCTTTTTAGAAGTGTACTTATCGTGCAAAATAAAAAGCTGGTGACTTAAGGCCAGTCCCCAAGGTTTTGTGGAATTCAGAATTTGGCAGTTTGATTGTATCCACCTTTCTACTTAGTGTTGTGAGGTGTTTTGCATTTCCGATAGCATTCTCTATAGCAATCATTTATTCTCTGAACATTCCTGGGGACCTTGGGCTCATTGAAGTTAATCATTCTCATTGCCAGGAGTTAAAGCTCTCACTCACCTCCCTGCTGCAACTTCCACCCATAATCGCGCGTCTTCCCTGTCCACTCATTCATCAGCTTTTCTACTAGCAGCTTCTCACTGTTAAGTATTCCTTTTTCTGGGTTAAACAACCTTAATTTCCACAAATGTTCCTTATGCGACCCAGTCAGCCTAGATATGTATGATGGTGGTATTATCTCAGTCTTGTGGGACTCAGCATTCCCAGTTTGTCCATGCTGGGATTATGGTCTTCCAGGTACTTGCTGGCTGCGCGTCTCTACGTTTTACAGCTCCGTGTAGACACTTCTGCACGCACGACAGTTTGGTCATGTTCTTCCTTAACAGGGAACATCGTCTTCTGAGCAATACAATGAGAGTACACCACCTTTAATAAATATACTATACTTTCATGAATATATCCTAAAATTCTTCAAAAAAAAATCAGGTATGATGTAGAAATGGTACATGTTACATATATAGTTAATTTTAAGTCTACGTTTAAAAAACCATAAATTTCCAGTTTTCTTCAAGTACTGTCTTTGTGCAGTTGACTATTTCTACCTTAAATTTTCTACTTTACTTTTATTTCTCTTTTTGTTACTAATTTACTGTTGTTACCACTATGATTACTGCCAAATATTGACAATAATGCATTTCAATTGTTAGTCATTGCCCCTCAGTTTATTCTCTCTGGATATTATTGATTCTGGTGCTTTCTTCTGTGTGTCTCATTTTCACTTCCTTTGCACATTTGGCATCGTCAGACTCTGAATCTTCATCTAAGTCTTTAACGGAACCGTCAAACAGGACAGGCTTGAGTAGAGAACTCTGGATCCCTTCTCCAGCTGAGTAATCCTAACTCTTTGTGTGACTTTGTCCACACAGCTGTAAGTACTCCTCGATGCATTACCATGTTGATGCCTTTTGGAAATGAAGGCTTCCTAGGCTAGACGTCCTCTGGATTCTACCTGCCTACATTTTCATCCCCCAGAAGCAATGACATAAGACTGGATGATTTGTTTATAGTGATGATTCTATGCATCAAGCAGGGGCTCCAGAGTCAAATGTCCTTCCAATTCCAGACAACCTGAAATTACCAGCAAATATGTAACACCACAGTTGGCCACCAAATAGGAGACTGAAGTCATAGATGTTTGGGCGTGCAAATGGAGCAACCCACTGAACATCTTTGAAAGAAGAAGGAACCTGTCATGTCAAGGGCCTTAGGATGGAGTTGAGGGAACAGCTGAATTTTATTATTCCTGTGACTCCATGAATGCCCAGGCTGATATGATCCAGGGAGACATAAATAAATACTTAAATAACTTTAAGTTATTTAAACTAGATGTGGCATTCCTACATTCATCTTAGTGTTCTGTCACGTTCGTAGTCCCAACCCAGTTCTGAGTCAATCATAATTAATTTCAGATCGATGATGACTTCACTGTGTTTTCAAACATTTAATTGATGAATTATCTTCAAGGTATTTCTTAAGGCATGTCAAGAATTTATCAGAGATTTTGCTTTTAGAAAAAAAATGAGTCTAACAGTTACATTCTTTTTTTTTCATGGATTGTATCTTGGCACTTGAGCCATTTTTGTTATTTATAGGAAAAACATTGTTATATAATCATGATCATAAGGTGGATCTGTCATTCACGCTGCAATATCACTTCTCTTTCTCTCTTTGGCCCATGTCCAATATTCCGCTTCGTTTTCACACCTGCACATTACAATATTGCTCTCTGTGTCCTTTAACGCACAGTACTATTTTAAAATTCTTCCTTTTTAAAAAATTAGATATGCAATCTTCCATTTCTGTATTCCAGATAGAAGTAAATCCCTGTTGGCAAATCTCTACTGCTTAATAAAATTATAGAGTTATTTTTAATGTAGTTTGCTGTATTTGCTACTTTCCTTTGCTTATGCAATATGTACCTTTCCTGAGTTTAGGAGGGGAAGAAATCTTTTTAGATTATTTTGTTTTTTCACAGATTTTTTTTTTCCTACTGTGGATAAATTCACATCTACATGAATTTCTAATCTTTTTTTTTTTGATTTTCAGTTTTCTCTTCTGGTTTGTTTGCATAGTTCTACAGAATTGAAACAGGTACCTTAGCCTTTGAATTTTAGTTTTAAGATTAAACGAGTTCTTTCAGTAGTAACATTTAATTTTAATCAGCCTCACCTGGTCACCTCTTTGGGTCAGTCTCAGACCCAGTACCACAACAGAGTACCTATAACTTGGTGGCTTAATACAGCAGAAATTTATTGTCTCACCACTGTGGAGTCCAAAAATCTGAAATCAAGGTTTTGGCAGGGGCATGCTCTCTCTAAAGGCTCTAGGGAGGAATCTTTGCTTGCCTCCTTATAGCTTCTGGTGAATCCTGGCAGTTCTGGTGTTCTTGGCTTGTAGCTGCATCACTCCAATCTCTGCCTATGTCTGCACTTGGCCTGTTTGTGCCTCCTCCATATCTCTGCATCCCAATCTCCCTTTCCTTTCTCTCCTATAGACTCCAGCCGTTGGATTTAGGGCCCACCCTAATCCAGTATGACCTCATCCTAACTTGATGACATCTGCAAAGACCCTATTCCCGAACAAGGTCACATTCACAGGCCTAGGCCTTGAACACATATTTTTAGGGGACACAGTTCAACAAAACGGTACTGAGTTACTTGATGCCCCAGGTGAAAAACTTTCAGGTGAAAATATTTTTACATAAGCGTAATGAGCTTAATGAACCAAGCTTGAAGATGAGACTGTAGTAAATTAAGAACAAAAACAAGAAACAAAACAAAATGAAAATAACTCAATGCAGACTTAATTGGTAGTATCTCCATATGTAGTTGCTGCTACAGTTAGGTCCTCAATTATGAACCATCTCAGGTGACTTTTCATGTGAGTTTTGCCTCCTGTATGGGTTTTCTGAGGATAGAGGCCCCATCTCCCATTTCTTTTCTGTCCTTCCAAGGATCCCAGCCCCCTGCTTAGCATGGAGTAGGGAGGGAAACAAAACTAACACATTTTGGTTAATAAGTTAATATTTTAAAAAACAGTGACCAATCTCTTTTCTCGGCAGTACATACTACCAATTAGGTCTGCATTGAGTTATTTTTGTTTTGTTTCTTGTTTTTGTTCTTAATACAGTCTCATCATCAAGCTTGGTTCATTAATTTTGTTAAGCTTACATAAAAATATTTTCACCTGAAAGTTTCACCTGGGGCATCAAGCAACTTACTTGGCAGTAAAGAGCTTTAGCTGTGTCGTGAGAGATTTACGTTAAATATAAGTCATGTTTCCTGATGTTGAAAATAGTCCGGTGCTTAGCTTGGGGAAGCATTCGGTCCTAACTCACTGACTCCAAGAAGCCTCCGTGGTAAGACACGATTATTTTACGTATCGCTTAAGGAAGAAAAACGATGCTGCCCATTATATTTGCAAGGCTTGGTGAACATGAGATGCATTGTAATTTCAGAGACGTTAAATTTTTTTTTTTTAAAGGTGAGTCTTGGAATGGGTGCAATGTGGTATTTAAATAGAAAATAGTCCTTTTTGGGGGTCGGTGCTAGTAAGAGAGTGAGAGGCCTTAGGGGCTGGAGCCTGGGGTTTCGTTTGCAGCATGGTGGCGTGGCGGGTGAGCACGGGCTTTGCAGGCTGACAGATGTGTACCAGCCTCTCCCCTTTAAGTCTCAGACTCAGTTTCCTTCTCTGTAAAGGAGGAATAATATCACCGTCCTTACAGGGCTTTTTGTGAAGATCCCACGAGATACCCAGGGGAAGTGCCTGGCCCTCAGCTTGCTCCTTCCCTTTCAAGAGCCCTGCCCGCCTTCCCAGAAGCCCACGAGGAAAAGGTAGAAAAAATAACTTATTAGCATTGATCATGACCACAGACATTTTAAATTCAGAATCCTGTACGTCTCATCCCTCGGGGGTGCTGTATTAGTCTCCTGCTGCTGTGATCACACATGTTTAGTATGCAGCAGTTCTTTGGGCTGGAAGTCCGAGGCGGGTCTGGCTGGGCTGAAGCCAAGGCACGGGCCGTGCTAAGGATTTTAAGAATGTTTACATTGGGCTAAACTGGGTAATCCAGGATGGTCGCTCTGTTTTTAGTCAGCTGCTCGGCATCCTTAATTCATCTGCAACCTTAATTCTCCTTTGCCGCGTAACCTAACACATTCACAGCGTCCCTGAGTGAGAACATGAACAGCTTTGGAAGCCACTATTTGGTCTACCACAGATATTTAATATTTAGACAGTATGTGTACACCTCTCTTGTTTCTTGCTTGGTTGGAAACGTGGGTTTTTAAAATTCTTTTGTTTGAGTACTTAAAATTTCAACAGGTACCTCTGTCTTAGTACTTATGCATTATATTGAAATGATATGTTTATGCATCTGTCTACCCTACTAATATGTATACTTCTGTAGGGAATATCTTACACATCTTTGGGTTCTCTCAACAGAGCACAATGCCTAGTGCAAAATAGGTACTTGATAAATGATTATGCGGTGGAACTGAATGAACTTTGTTTTGCAACAATTTCTTTGTATTGTTCCTTTTTTTTAACTTTCAAAAAATCACTTCCCAAACCCAAGTGCCTTGATGTCAAAAACTTAGTCTTTTCTTTTATATAACAATTTGTTGTCTCACATATATTGAGAAATGAATGATTTGTTTCATTCTGCTAAGTGGAAATTCATGTAAGAAACATAAAAATAATATTATTTCCACGTTTTTAAAAAGAGAATAGAAGTGTGAGAAGTTTCTTAACATATGTATAACTAGGATTTTATTGCAAACACAAAAGAGAATTGGACATTATTTTCCTGGGCAGCTTTGATTCTCTTAGCAATGAAGCATTTGTGTGATGCATAATTCATGAATGTGAATCAGTAATTCCTCACTATACAGCTTTCTATTGTATTTAGTATGTCAATATCCACATCAGTCCAAATAATTGATTCAATTTTGGGTTGAAGTCAAACTAATACTTTATTGCATTATTCTGTGTATTTGACAATATGCAGACAATGTTCTGGGGAAATATTTGTTGCTTCTGTTGTTGCTTTTCTTTATCCTTATTCTCTCTTTAATATAGTCATCTGAGTACAGATGAGTGAGTTACAACCATCGTTTGACTCATTCTCCATTAAAACTAATTTTTTGGCCAAGGTAAAGGGGTGGACCACTAACTGGTCCACTTATCACATACTTTTAGATTTGATACCTTTCATTAATGGCATTTTCTTTACTTTGTACTCTTAACTTCTCTTCCATTGTTCTTTTCATTGATTTTTCTGCTCCTAACAATCAACATTCTTTATTTCTGTAATCCTTGCCAAGGTAGCATTCCCTCTCCCGAGGGAAGAGCAGGTGTAGACCTGCCTCTAAATCAAAGGCCTCAAGTAGCAAAGGTAACCTCATGGCTTTTTGTGAGCCCAGTGAAAATACGCAGAGTCATTACCGAAAATTGGATTCTGTTCTTAGAAAAGAGATTTACTTTTTCCCAGGGATCTGCTTCTAGTTATACCCGTCTGTGTGCAGTGACTTTTTATGGGTTAAAACTGGCCAATAGGATCAGTCCTTAAAATGCACATGCTTCATGGATCCAAAATTCTATCATTTCTGGTGATACCACGATTTTGAAATAAAGTTGGAGTACGTGTTGAGATTGCAGTTTCTTCCAATGTAAAAATGGGGAAGGGGAATGTAGAAAAATATTTCGCCTTTTAACAAATCATTAATTCCTTCTCTTTTATTTATTTCAAAAGTAATTCATGAAAATACAGATTTTAAAAAGAAAAATTATCCATTATCTCATCCACCAAGGGTGAGAGTTAACATTCTAGTGGTTATTCTTTCCAATTTTTGTATAAATATAATGTGCATGTATGCTTTTCTATGTGCCCATCCTTTTATTTTTAAATAACAGAAATGGCATGTACACAATCTGTCCCCCTTCTAGAGTGAAGTCACCGGGGGCAGGGACTCTCTTCCTTATTTTGTGATCTGTTCTCATCCTAGAATAGTGCCTGGCATGCTGTAGGCTCTCAATAAGAAATCGTTATTGACTAACTGCTCTTATCACTGAACCCTTTGCTGTATGTCTTTTCCATGGTAATTAATATAGATTATGGGGAGATGAGCTTAATCTAATTTTACTGAGCGGTATTGAAAACTGTGACTTACCAGAGGTATTCTCAAGTAGATGTGCCATCAGGGGCAACCACAGGAGGTATTGATAAAGAATTATGAGAAACCGTGAGCCTGATAAAGAACTATAGGGCACTTTGCCAGCTGAGGGTTCTCCCTGAGTCTCCAGGAATTGTCCTTGGCCAGAGAGCTGCCTCGCCTTCTTGGAGCAGCCCACGTACATGGTGACTGACAGGTGAGGGCACACCAGGTCCCAGCCCTCCTGGCTGCCTCAGTCCAGTTCAATTCTGAAGGGCCATCCCAGCTGAGAACTCTCACAAGAGGTCTCCGTGGCAACTGCATCACAATGCAACTTGTCTCCCCTCTGCCCTGCTTTCCATCCTTCCTTTCCTGCGTGGTTCCTGTGAGCAATCCCCAAATAACCACCTGCATGAGAAGTTCTGATTCAAAGTCTATTTCCTGGGAAACCCAACCTATTTCACATGCAGGCTGTTTCCAAGTCTTCACAGCTATAAACAGTGTTGTGATGATGCCGGGGACTGAATTGTGTTCTCTCTAAATTCATATGTGGAGGATTTAATCCCCTGATGTTACTGTGTGTAGCGGACTGACATATATTTTCCTAGTTTAAGAATTAAAGTTAGTGAGTAATGTACGTGTTCTGCCCAGAGCGTTTGAAAGTAATGTGTTCTGGACAAAGTCCTTGTGATAAACAAGGCTGTTGCCTAGAGGCATAATAAAGGACCTGAGCTGCAAATAAGCAAGAGCTGCCCTGCCCCACGGCATTGGTGGTCTGGAGGCCACACGATAAACACATTGTTCCTGTGATTGCTGCGTACACCCCATAAGATGGCTGGTCAGTCAATGACGGGTAAGAACCCTCAAGGGAGGGGCAATCTAAGCCATGCACAGCTGCCGGGTTTCAGCCAAAGATCTTAGGGGATCACCCTAAGAAAAGCTGGGGATGAGAAATGCCCCCTGTGGCTTGCCTTGCTCATCCTTGCTAATCTCGGTCCGTGATCTATGCCTAGCGCCTAGAGCAACCACCTGGAAACCTTGAGTCAGGGGATATCTGCTTCCCTAAGGCTACATATTCTGGAATTTATGGCCATTGCTGAAATGCCGGGGTGGTTACATAGGAGGAATTAACTTTAATTTTTTAGAGTATAAAAATAAAACTGACCCGGTGTATTAGTACTCTAGTCAACCATCTGTATGTATGTCTGCATTTGTTTTTTGTGTTCTGTGTTCATCCTCCGTCCTGTAAATGGGCCACGACAACTGTGTGTGGGAATAGGAGTTTTAGAAGGTAATTAAGGTTAAATGAAATCTTAAGGATGGGGCCTAATCCAATAGGACTGTGGCCTTATAAACAGAGGAGGAGAGATTCTGTCTCCACCATGAGAAGACACGATGACAAGCCAGCTGTTTGCACGCCAGAAAGAGCCATCCCTGAAAATCAACCATGCAGCTCCCTGATCTCGGACTCCCAGGCTCCACCACTGTGAGAAAGTAAATGCCACACGGTCTATGGTATTTATTATGGCCACTATTACAGATGAATGGCCTTTGTTAGGGACAGAAAAACAAGTGTGCACTAATGGAAATCAGAAAGGAGAAAGCAACTACAGGAAAACAATAAGGAGGAAATGGTTTCAGAAAAATAAAAAGAGGGTCGGTCATTTCAGCCTTAAAGAATGGGGTCATTAGGCCATGCAGCACTGACCACCAGTCAGAGAATGGAAACGACACCATACACAGGTGATGGCACTTTCCCCACCAAATGTATGTTAGAAAGAATGACTGAAACGTAGACTTTAAGTCATGTCCAAACATAGAACAGAATGCAGTAGTAATTATAACTAGTTGTTACCAAAACATGAACTAGGAGCATATAAAAAGAGGAATATGGAATTAGACAGGGTCTTCTCCACTGGTGGAGACATACCCGTTTCCCCTTAGGAAATGAACGTTTGCTTCACACTCCTGTTCTTTACTCACAATACATTCTTTTTTTTTTTTGAGGCAGAGTTGCCCAGGCTAGAGTGCCGTGGCACTAGCCTAGCTCACAGCAACCTCAAACTCCTGGGCTCAGGCAATCCTCCTGCCTCAGCCTCCTGAGTAGCTGGGACTACTGAGTAGCATGGGCCACCATGCCCGGCTAATGTTTTCTATATATTTTTAGTTGACCAATTCATTCCTTTCCATTTTTAGTAGAGACAGGGTCTTGCTCTTGCTCAGGCTGGTCTTGAACTCCTGACCTTGAGCGATCTGCCTGCCTTAGCCTCCCAGAGAGCTAGGATTATAGGTTGTGAGCCACCGTGCCCGGCCTCACAATACATTCTTGATGCGTGCTGGCTGGGGGTCTGTCATCTCTCTCCGTCACTCGGGCCAAGCTTGTGACTCCCCTAAGCCGGGAGCCCAAGAACTGGGGCAACACTTCAAAGTCCAGCCGTGAACAGAACTGTGACAGCTTTGTTCATTTCTCTTCCCATTTATCCATACGCATACAGAAAGGTATATGTGTAGAAGAAAAATGTTACCGGTTAGAGAGGATGAACATTTTTAAAGCTTTTGATACCAGATGGTAAATTGAACCTAGAAAGGTCAGATACTTGACAATTTCGCCAGCAGTGTATAATGATGGTGCCAGTGAGGATCCATTTGTTTGTTGATTCCTTTTTAATTTTGATCAATTTGACGGGGAGAAAAAGATTTGTCACTGCTTTCATGTTTGCAGTGTGTTTATAAGTACTAACACTCAACGTGGTTTCAGACGTCTATGGAGCATTTGTCTTTTTCCTTTTGTTCATTTTCTATTATGGTCCTGTGCCAATTTTCCTTTTGAGGGTTACAAATCAATAAACAGAAAGTCTAATTGGATCTGAAATCTAATTTTTTTAAACCTTTTATAACATTTGTTATTTCTGGTCTGTATTTTTACTTTATTCATCTTTGAAAAAATATAGAGAAATTTTCATATTTTTGTGGTTAAATCTATCAACTGTATCAATCTTTTTTCTGTACAAATTTTGCATTTGGAGATATGCTTAAAAAGTCTTTCCCAACCCCTCGAATGTGCAAACGTTGATTTAAATATTTTTCTAATTTTTAAAATATAAGTGCTTTTAACCTATGTGGAATTGATTTTGCCAAGAAACAGATAGTTCAACCTGGTGGCCCAGGCTGGATCAGGCCTGCAGATTGTTCTGCTCATGTAGCGGGTTTGTGTCCTCCAGAAGAATATGTTCAAATCCTAAACCCTGCTTCTATGAATGTGACCTTACTTGGAAATAGGATTTTTGCAGGTGTGATCAAGGTACGATGAGGTCATTTTGGAATACGGGAGGCTGTGATCCAATGACTGGTGTCCTTCTAAGAAGAGGGAAATTTGGACACAGGTGACAGGGAATGAAGGAGACGGTGATTGGACTGAGACATCTGCCAGCCAAGGAATGCCAGGTGCCCCTGGAAAATACCAGAAGAAGGTAGGAGAGAAGCAGCTAACAGATTCTGCCTCGGAGCCTCTGGAAGGAACCAATCCTGCCAGTACCTTGATTTCAGACTTCTTACCTCCAGACTGTGAGAGAATAAGTTTCTGTTGTTTCAAGCCACCCGGTTTTTGGTCACTTGTTATGGCAGCCCTAGGAAGCTAAATGTGGCTTGGTTCACACACTGTTTTAAAAATATTTGAGACGGTTGCCAACAACTAAAAATTGGATGATTTCATATAAGAAATGGAGATTTCTCTTAAAAATATCCAGAACTATGGGCCCTCGTGTAAGTGTGTTCCCTGCCTGGACTCCACATGTGTTTTCTCTGCATGGGGCAGGTTTGCCGTGTCCCACTGTGCCTGCAGGGTGGGGGAGGGACAGCTACCTCTTAAATTGTTTCCTTTTTGTTTCTTAATGGTAAGTTTGTCCCAACACCATTTGCTAAGGAATCCAACAAATCTCCACAGATAGGCTATTTTATCTTCTATTATATGCTCACATAGCGCTTGAGTCTATTTTAGGGCTTTCTATTCTGATCCTCTTAGCTGTCTAAATAGTCTCTCTTTGCACTATACAGTTGGACTTATGGCAGTTTAAAAATATAATGTTAAATTCCATTGAACAAGTAGGTGATCAAAGTTCCTTTAGCCCTAAAATTCTATCAGTTAGGATGAGTGAGTTTAATAGAGATAAATACAGATTCTGCTTAGTAGACTTAAAAAAGTAACTTAAAAAAGTAACCACTTAAATAGGTCTTCCCACTAAAAATGTCAGTAGTCATTTTTCTGACTATGGGTTGGTTTTCCATTACCAATTTCTTTTGTATGAAAAAAATAATTCTGGCTAGCGCGTGGTGCGGCTGCACAGCTGTAATCCTAGCACCTCCTGAGACCACACAGTGCGACGAGAGTCATTTGAGCTCACGCGAGTTCGAGACGCACCTGAACCAGAGCGACAACGCCCCATCCTCAAATAAATAAATACGCACCAAACAGCATTAGCTGACAACCTAAAATAATGTCATAAATTAACTGAGCATGGTACACACCGATATCTGTAGACTCTCAGCTACTCGGGTGGCCCGAGAGCGAGGAATCACTTTAGCCAGGGTTGAGGTTCTATGGCTAGGCTGACACCATAGGTTCTAACCCAGGCAACACACAGAATGAGATCTGTCTTCGAGCATAATGAAATAATAATATTAGTAAACCCAATATCATTATTTTGTGTGTGTATCTCTGTTATCTGAAATTGAACCATTCCGATAACTGGCTACATTTTGTCGTCTTAAAAACCTCATTAAAATGTATCGCGCATCACTTCTTTTCTTGTAGCAAGTGTATTTCTCGCTCACTCATTGTGAAATATATTCATTGAAAGATACTACATGAACCTACAGAGAATTTATGTCTGTCACCCATACGATCGTATACATAAAGATGTATTAATAACACCACAAAATTTTAGGAAAAGCTCTTGCTGACATTCTTTTTTTATAACATTTTGTATTTTGAATCTAATTATAGGCTTTTCACAGGAGGTTTGTGCCAAAGAAATGTATAGAGGTCGCCTATGATATACGTTCCCAAGCTCCTGGCAATGTGAACATTTTATATAAGTACAGTATATCTA